CTCGTCGCGTCCTCTTGATGGAATGCCTCGATCAGGTCCTTGTTCTTCCAAAGCGTGAGCTCTTTCTCCCATGTTGCTTCACTCTCCGGAAGGTTGCGCCACTTGACTAAGTACTCCACAAAGCTTGGATGTACGCCACGACGAGGAATGACATGAAGCGCCATGATTTCTTCGACTTCATGGTCGTGTGTCTTGGTGACGAGTGTTGGAGCGCGCTGCGACTCTCTTCGTCACTCGTCCTCCTTGTCTTCGTGGTAAGGCTTGAGCTGGCTCACATGAAAGACCGGATGGATCTCCAAGTGCGTCGGCAACTCTACCTTGTATACCACCTTGCCAATCCTCTTCACGATGGGGAATGGCCCTTCATAGCGGCGAAGCAGTCCCTTGTGCACGTTCTTGAGATGCTTGAAGCGATGAGGGTAGAACTTGACCATCACCATGTCTCCCTCTTCAAACTCCAAGTGCCGCCGCTTCTTGTCCGCCCATTTCTTCATCTTCTTGCTAGCGCGGGCTAAGTAAGACTTGGCCATCTCCATCTTCTCGTGCCAGCCTTTAGCGAACTTGTAGGCCGCCGGACTGTTGCCTCTATACCCCGTTGCCACCGTCGTAGGTGTCAAAGGTTGCTGCCCCGTCGCCAACTCAAATGGACTCGTGTTGGTCGACTCGCTGCGGTGCAAGTTGTAGGAGAACTGTGCCGTGTCCATCAACTTCACCCAATCTCGTTGGTTTGCACTCACGTAGTGCCGCAAGTACACTTCCAACAAGGCATTCACCCGCTCCGTCTGTCCGTCGCTTTGAGGATGAAATGCCGTCGAGAAGTTCAAGTTTGAGCCCATGATCTTGAACAACTCTCGCCAAAATCTGCCCGTGAAGCGCCCATCTCTGTCGCTCACAATGCTGCTAGGAATGCCCCAATACTTTACCACGTTCTTGAAGAATAGACGTGCCGCATCCTCTGCCGTCAAGTCTTTTGGCCCGGGAATGAACACTCCATACTTCGAGAATCTGTCCACCACAACCATGATGCAACCGCATCCATCGACTTTGGGAAGTCCGATGATGAAGTCCATGCTTACACTCTCCCATGGTCGTTGAGGCGTGGGCAAGGGCTCTAGCAAGCCTGCCGGGCTTCTCTGCTCCATCTTGTCTTGTTGGCACACAAGAAAAGTCTTCACATACATCTCCACGTCGTCTCTCATACGCGGCCAGAAGTATGCTTCTTCGATGAGCGCTTGCGTTCTCTTGATGCCAGGATGGCCCGCCCACTTGGAATCATGACACTCCTTCATGATCTCCTTCCTCAAGTTGGCCCATCTTGGCACTAACACCCGCTCTCCCTTGGTCGTGATGAGCCCATCCTTCATCCAAAACCGCCGAGTTTTACCTTGCTCGATGTACTCCGCTACGGTTTTGGCGAAGGGGTCATGGCCAAGGCCTTCGACGATCCGCTCCTTCAAAGGAAACGTGGGCTGGCTGATGCTTGCGGTTGCACTCTTGCGGCTAAGAGCATCGGCAACGGAATTCGCCTTGCCTGGATTATACTCCATGACGAAGTCGAACTCGGCCAAAAAGTCTTGCCACCTCGCTTGCTTAGGGGTGAGCTTCTTCTGCGTCAGAAAGTAGCTCGTTGCCACGTTGTCCGTCTTCACTACGAACTTTGACCCCAACAAGTAGTGCCTCCATGTGTGCAAGCAATGCACCACGGCCGTCATCTCCTTCTCTTGAACGGTGTATCGCCTCTCCGTCTTGCTGAGCTTCCGACTCTCGAAGGCAATGGGATGCCCATCTTGCATCAACACGCCCCCAATTGCAAAGTCGGATGCATCGGTCTGCACTTCGTAGGCCAACGTCGGGTTGGGGAGCACGAGCACGGGCTCCTTCATCACCGCTGCTTTCAAGGCCTCGAATGCTTCTTGGCACCTTTCCGACCAATCCCACGCCTTGTTCTTCTTCAAGAGATCCGTCAAGGGTGCTGCAACGTTGGAGTAGCCCTTGATAAACCTCCGATAGTAGTTGGCAAGGCCGAGGAATGACCGCAACTCTGGCACCTTCGTTGGCGGCTCCCATTCTTGGATTGCCTGCACCTTCGCTCCATCCATCTTCAACTTGCCTCCACCAATGACGTGCCCCAAGAATGGAACCTCCGTGGCGGCAAATGTGCACTTTTCTCTCTTGACGTACAACTCGTTGTCGCGAAGGACTTGGAAGACTTGGCGTAGATGCTCGGCATGCTCATCGAGTGTTTTGCTATACACGACGATGTCATCCAAGTAGACCACGACAAACCGGTCCAAGAATGGCTCGAACACTTGATTCATCAAAGTGCAAAACGTGGCTGGTGCGTTGGTGAGACCGAATGGCATCACAAGAAACTCGTAAGAGCCATACCTCGTCACACAAGCCGTCTTTGGCTCGTTGCCCTCTGCTATCCGCACTTGATAGTAGCCCGAGCGAAGATCAAGCTTGGTGAACCACATTGCATCTCCAAGCTGGTCGAACAAGTCGGCAATGTTGGGAATCGGCCACTTGTTCTTCACCGTCAACTTGTTGATGGCTCGATAGTCGATGCACATCCGCAACGACCCTTCCTTCTTCTTTTGGAACAGCACCGGTGCTCCAAAAGGTGACTTCGATGGCCGCATGTAGCCTGCGTCCACCAAGTCCTTGAGTTGCCTCCGCAATTCTTCTAATTCCGGTGGCGACATGCGGTATGGTGCTCGCGAAGGGGGCTTCGCTCCTGGCTCCAACTCGATCTTGTGGTCCACCTCTCTTCTTGGTGGCAGCTTCTTGGGCAACTCTGATGGCATCACGTCATCGAACTCTTCGAGGACGCCTTCGATGATGGGAGTTGTGATTCCCATTGAGCCTCCTTCTTCCTCCATTTTCAAGGACACAAGAAAGGTTGGTTCATTCTTCTTGAACCCCTTCACCACTTGCATGGCCGATAGAGCACTATGGGGACCATCTTCTCTCAAGAGATGGATCGCATGAAATTCCCCTTCCTTCTCCAAGCACATCGTGTTGGAGTTGGGCTTCAAGAGCACTCCCTCCTTATCGAGGAAGTTGAGCCGAGGATGACTGGGTGATCGTCCATGGTGACGACGGAAAAGTCGATGAGGCCTTCCCACTCGCCAAGCTTCATTGGTACGTTGTGAGCAACTCCATGGATCGGGATGGACTCCGAATTGATCGTCTTGAGCCTCCCTTGCCCCTTCTCGTAGGCAATACCCAGCCGGTTTGCCTCCTCGACGCGAAGAAAGTTGTCCGTGGCACCGGTATCCACCAAGACTTTTGACTCGCCTTGCATGAATTGCGCCAGAACATAGCACCTCCCCCGCTTGCTCTCCTTGACGTCGGTCTTCGCCGCGCCAAGCTTGCGGATTGAGCCAATCTTGGCCTCCGCCGCCTTGGGCTCCTCATCTTGAGCTTCCATGGCCGCCAATCTTGCCTTCCTTGGGTAATCTCGCACTCGATGTGGTCCGTCGCAAAGGAAACAAGTCATGGGTTTTGGCTCGTACTTACCCCCTTTGCTCGAACCACCTTGGTGTTGTTGAGTGCGAGAACCCTCCTTGAAAGGCTTCTGCTATTCTCCACCCTTGTTGGGCTTCGAACTCTTCTCTTTGCCGCTGCTCTCTTGTCGTTTGTACTCGACAAAAGACTCCGCCGTGGCCATGGCAGTTGCAAGGTCTTGCACTCCTCGACGTTGCATCTCCATCTTGGCCCATGGTTGCAGCCCATCAAGAAAGCCGTGCATGGCCTCCTTGTCCGGGATCTCTAGAAGCAGCTCCGAGAATTCTTTCACGTATTCTCGAACTCCACCCCACTGGGTGAGTCTTCTCAACTTCGAACGGGCTTCAAACTCCACGTTCTCTGGGTAGAACTGCCTCTTGATTTCTCTCTTGAAATCTTCCCACGTTACCATCACACAAGTACCTCTTTCGACGTTCGCTTCACGTCGCCTCCACCACACCATGGCAACATCAACCAAGTAAAGTGGAGCGGTACGAATCTTTACCACATCCTCTTGGATGTCGGACGCCTTGAAGTACTGCTCAAGACTCCAAAGGAAGTTCTCTAACTCCCTCGCATTCCTTGAACCTCCGAAGCTCTTCGATCTTGGAATATCAGCACGTGGGACGGATTGCATCGTGGCTGGTCCTCTAGCCATGGCTCTCTTCACGAGAGTGACCTCACTCTTGAGATCTGCAATCTCCTCCTTCACGCCGACCAGCTCAGCCTGGACATGATCTTTCACAACCGCAATGGCAGTGCTCACGGTTTCGGAGATGGTGTTGGTGATGAGAGCAATGAGCTCTTCTCGCATCCCATCATGGTTGATCTCCAAGCTCGACAAACGAGCATTCATACCTTGAAAATCGCTTTCGACTTGGGCGAAGTTAGCTCCCAAATCCTCGATGGAAGTGACATCTTCAGAAATCTTCACCTCCATCCTCGAGACTCGCCTCTCTAGAGATCTGAGAGGATCACGAGTGCTCGACTTGTCTTTTGGCCTCCCGCCTGAGGTAGGCTCTCTGCCACGATGCTTCTCATCTTCATTGACTTCTGATCCCGACATTTTTGGTGAGGTTCTTCCTTTCCTTCTGGCTCTAGGTTCAACTTTGCTAGCACAAAGCCGAACCAGGCTCTGATACCACTTGTCACGACCTTACTCTCGATCGTGCGGCCCTAACTCTCAATTCCGTTAGAGCGCTAGGCAGCCTTTCTCTCAACTCACTTGCAAGCAAAGAATAAGAACAAAGACAAAGGATTGGGAGAACTCTCTAGTGTGTATTACTCTAAAAAATGATGGAATGAGTACAAGTGAGGGAGATGGCTCCTTATATAGGCCTCTCCACATACAAGGCATCAATGCCCCCTCATAATGTCCCTCTACTACATCAATACACCCATTAAGTCCCCCCATTATGCACTCTATCAATGTCACCATTATGTGACACATAAGTGCACTATAAAGCTCTACATTATGGTGGAGAATCCTAGGAGCATCTCTATGCTACTAGTCTTCCATGCATGCCACATGTGCAGCCGCCATGTTGTCACCTTGTTGGCGCCATGTCATCTGCCACATGTGACAGTACCCTCGGGGATGTCATGTAGAACCCGGCCGCAAGACCCCTCTCCATAAGTTTGAGAGAAATCGATTATACTACTACCACAATACCACGATATAACCATTCTAATTGATAAACCGACACACTATAGTATATATATTATAATATTTTTTTTTTTTTACAATGATAAAATAATAAAGTAGAAACCAAAACGTTGCTCATAAGTCATAACTCATAACGAGCCTTCATCTGCCACTCCACAGTTAGGGTTTTGCCCCCCCGTCCCTCCATTGCCATCCACTTTGGTCAGTTTATCGGCTCCGACGTCCGAAATAATCTTCTCCAACACCCTAGGGTTGCTGCTCTCTGCTGTTCTTATATAACTTGAGATTTCCTGTCAAGTCTCCCCGGCAGGTCTGTTGGAGTTTCATCTGCCATGGGCACTCTGGTTGAATCGCAGCAGCACTCCGAAAGTTCGAAAAAGAAGAAGAAGAGAAGCAGAGATAAAGAGATTGCCGAAGATGCTGATGCCACCGCCGCGCATCTCCAGAACGATGGCGACGACGACGGAGCTCGGCCGCGGACTATGAATGTGAAAATCGAGCTGATTCCCGAACGGCCCGACCGTACTTCTCCGGTGGTGGGGTACTTCCCATCCGGGTACAACCCTCTTCGTGACGGCGATGGTGACCAATCGGTGTTGCCTTCAGTCAATCTGTACAGGAATGTCCAGAGGAAGAAAGTAGATGCAGGTGTGGGTGATAAGGCTCCGAGCCGGAGAGGTCCAGAGAGGATGGAGCTGGTGGTGACCCCTGAGGGAGGATCGAAGGTGGATTTTGTAGGAACGAGCTATAAAGGCGAGGCGAGTAATGCTCAATTGGCTACTTATGCGCTTGGGGTTCTGGATAAAGAGACTCAGACTCTGAAGATTATGCCCATTGCTGGAAATAAGGTATTATTGGTTTGGTTTCTTGTTGAGCTTTTATTGATGTTTAGTGAAGAACTGGGGAAGAGAAAGGAGACACCTTTTTGGCTAACACTGTCAGTTAGTTTGGATTTTCATTGATGGAGTTGATTGAGGCCTTGAATGTGGAAACAGATATTTAGATTGGATGTGAGACGCCGAGTGCATGATAGGGTCGCCAATGTGGATGAACCAACGACGGAGAATCCCGAGCTCTCTGCACAAGAACATGCAGCCAAGAAGAGAGCGCTTGCTGCTCAATTCGGAACTAAGCAGGCTGTGGCCAGGGTACGCTTAATCTTGTGTGCAATATATCATTTTCGATTGACTTGATGAGTGAGTTATGCTGGGTACATGCTTAACACTTTTGTGGAGAATGTCCGTTTAGGACATACGTGACAGTTTAGCTACTTTGGGGGGATTGTCGTTTAACTTCCTTGTGCAATGATAGATATATGTCGATTGGATCTCTAGTTAGTGTTTGCAGATAGCTCGACGACTGTGGAAATATGTCTTGTTATTCACTTATTTGAATGAACTAACTTGTCACCTCTTCGAGGGACTTTGCATTGAGAAACTCTCTGTATTTTGATATTAGTTCCATTATGCTTGAAACAGATATCATGTGAACCTGATATCTGTTTATCTTTGTAGGATAAGAAGATGCATGTTACGACCGGGATTGGGGAATCCAAGGTTGATTTGGAGAATCATGCTGACATCTTCCCAGTAAACAAAGACGCTACAGTCACTACTGCTGTCGACATGGCTCGAAACATCCCTCCACATAATTGTTCCGCCACTACGCCTAAGGAAGCGTATCCATTGGACAGGATTATTGCCTCCAGAGAGTGGGAGTTCCTCAGGGACTTTGAGAAGATCAACCTACAAGGCGGCGAAGAAGGATTTGAGACTTATCCATTATTTGTTCGCAATAGGATCCATAAGCTGCGCCGAGTTCAGGTAAACTGCGGAAACCAATTTTACTTTAGTGAATGAGACTTTAGTTGCTGTATGGCATGTGATTCGAAGCTCTCGCCTAAATTCTCACTATCACTGCTCTGTTATCTTTTTCCACTCCTGCTCTAGGATGACGAGGAGAGGAGAACTCTCTCTGGTATTCTATGCTACATAACCCACCTCATCAAGTACAAAGACCTGCGATCCATGGACACTGCGGAGTCAGCAAAGAGTCATCGGTTCCCTGAAGTTGTGAGGGATAAGTTCAGGGACATGTTCGATTCAGAACAAAAAAGCCTAACAGGTGACAAGATGAATCTGCTGATCAGTTACGTTATTGTCCTGACTTTGCACTTCGATGGTTTCCAGACGGAAACTGCTGATATAACGAAGGATCTAAGACAGAATCCGATCGCGATGAGGACTCATTTCGAGAACTTGGGATGCAAGAGTGCGACCGTGAAAAAGGTGCGGGTAATGACGCTCCCTGTTCCCATTCAGTTCCCGGTGGCAAGAAGGAAACGAAGAGGGCGTGGCTAAGACAGATAACGCCGAGAATGTGGAATTGAATTGCTGGTTGGATTTTGGTTGGTTGCAAGTGTTATTTTGTGTCAGTCTTTTGAGTTATAACTATGCAGAATTCTGCTTTCCTTCATGGAAAAACCAGTTTTGGTCAATGCTCCCCTAGTGTTACACTTACTTTTTCTTCTTCTTTTCCTCGACTTGCTATCACTTGCGTACGGGTTGATGGATACTCTCTGGTAACTATTGATGGGGGCAATGGGCTGGTTTGGAGCGGGTATTACCGAAATTCATATGAAATGTCAAACCGTAAATCAATTATCGGACACAAAACAACTATGAAATATCGTTTGATGAGATTAGTATAAGAATAGCGCAAGAATATGAATTTCGTCGATAACAAAATTACACAAAACCCAACTAGCAGCACAAAGAATAGGAATTTTGTTTCTTTGTTCGAATGACAATATCATTCAACTATAATGATAAGATGAATTTGCATTTTACTTGACATTTGGAAAAGATTAAAAGAAAATATCAATGTTGGTATCTTACACAAATTCTCAACAACAAAAACCAACTAATTAATTTCAATAAACTTTTGCCCAAATTAAATTTTAGAAATAGCAACAAAAGTAGAAAGTAAAAACCATATAACTAATAATTGTTACATGAACTTATCTGTCACACAATTGTCATCTCTATCTCCGTTAAAAACCTTTCTGTTTCGATCTCACACAACATTTTCCCTTATACCCTATTTAGCTCATAAAACTTCCAACCAAAATCCCCATTAGAAACTCTTGTTCTTTGTTTGATTCCTTAGAAGAAGAAAAAAAAAGCTCTGAACCTTTTTTTTTTGTTCTTTTTGCCCCCAGGCTAAGGCCTGGTTTATGGTTTCGTGGCGGCCATGGCAAAAAGAACAAGAACCAGCTATATGAGAGTTTGATCAAATTAATCACAATCTAATTAGCGTACCATTTTCATTCTCCCCCCTTTTCCTTTCTCATCTTCCATTGGAAATTTAAGTAATAATTAGAAATGGCGGCTGGTTTTGCAAGAACAAGATCAAGCCTTGAAGGTGAAAACCCAGGGATAATAGCCATTGCGGTTGATATGGGCAAGAACAGCAATTTTGCTGTGAAATGGGCTGCAGACAATCTCATGAGAAAAGGTGGCTCTTCCTCCTGCATCCTCGTTCATGTTCACAACAAACCAGCTCCCGCTCGTAAGTTCTCTTTTACTTTTTAAGACTCCATTTTCTGGTTCACAACAAACCCTGCTCGAATTTGCTTGAGAAATATTGCACCTTTTTAGCGTGTATTTGTCTGATGTCCGATTCCTACTTCGTGTGTATATGAATATGAGATACTATTCTGATGTTTGGCAGAGAGCCAAAATGGGCCATCCCAAAAGGAAGTGCAGCAACTATTCCTTCCCTTCCGAGGATTCTGTGCCAGAAAAGGGGTGAGGGTACAGGAACGAAAAATCCTTCTTCCCATCTACTACAATGAGATTTGCCAGGCACAGAATTTTGTACTATCATGTTCTTAAATTAATGGGTTTGGTTATATTGTTGTTGTTGTCTACTGTATGTTCAGATTGAAGCCCAGGAAGTGGTTCTGTTTGATGCAGATATAGCCAAAGCTCTCTTGGAGTACATTGCCAAGAACTCCATTGGGACTCTGGTCATTGGCGCTACCAACAAGAGTGCTTTCTCAAGGTTCGTCTCTAAACGAAACATTTTCTCTTAGTTTAGCAAAAATGTTATATCGTACTATGTCGTTTACCCATTTTGAATCTTCTGTTAAGATGTTATGATTAAATCCGCGTCTTCCGAAGATTTGTCTCGAAAACAAACACTTCCCTTATGATAAGATAGTTTAGCAAAGATGTTATGATACTATATGTCGTAAACTACTGGTTTAATCCTGCACGACAGAGAATTAAATCAGAGCTTATGTAATTTGTTTAGGTATGACGTACCATATTTCATGAATATACACTTAAAATGAAAGAAAAGACTAACACAATAAATCTGATCAAATCGAATCAAATAACATTTTCGATTCGTATCATATATCAATTTTGACCCAAATTGTAACCATCCCTAGACCATGTCTACACCCCTACTAGCAAATCTTCATTCATTTGCATCATATTCTTCTTCTTCTCCTCCTTCTTCCATGGAATCCTGTCTCTCTCTCTCTCTCAGGAAGTTCTGGAGCGTTAGCCTTTCAACAACGCTAATCCAGGCCGTACCGGATTCCTGCTCCGTGTACGTCATCTCCAAGGGCAAAGTCCAGAGCATGCGGCTGGCGAATCAGCCGCCGCCGCCGCTCAAATCCTCCCCCACTCCCCTGATGCCGTACAATCAGTTCCCTCCGCCGAGCCCGGACCAGCAGTCCGAGGTAATGTCGATGTCCGATTTCAGCTACAGCCAGGGGAGCCTGAGGAGCGAGTTCTCGTCCGACAGATTGTCGATCGAGAGCAGCGATTCCGCCGCGATTTCATCGTCCACCAGAACGTCAGCGAACAGAGGCGGCGGCGGCGGTGGGTACGGAAGGACGCCGTTTGTGCCGCCGGGGGCTCATCATCAGGGGAAGATGACCAGTAGGTTGTCCGGGGCGGATTCTGCCGGCGTGTCGAATTTCAGCGATTCATCGGCGGCGTCGGGGTCGTCGTTGTCGTCGGGAGGGATGCCGAGGAACTTTCAGTGTGTCGATACGGCGTCGTATGAGGGTAATAATAATAATAATAGTACGGAGTTCTCCGGATTATCAGCTAGTTCTACCGGCTCAACTAATTCATCTGACAGCATGGTAAGTAATTAGTTTCACTAATACATGTTGGGTTTTTTCAGTATAAAATTTGAGAGATTGGAAAAAAAATAATTTTACTTTGTGATATTTAGTATTGAAATTTTTTCTATTTAGATTATTAGAGGTATAAGTTTTTTCTCACAAAAATATAAGAGGTATAAATTTTAAAAAATCAGGAATATATTTTTGCTAAAAGGAAAGGTTTTATAGCTTGTGTTATTTAAATTATATAATTCAGCAAACGTGAAGGAATCATATAATGGTGGTTAATAAATAATGAACTTATTAAACTCCATTTTAAATCATCATTAAAGTTGAAAACTTCGAATTCATTAAAACTCCAAGTTTTTCATTGAATTATCATATGTAATTTATAAAGGTAAACACAATGAACGGTTACAGGTATAAATTATGTTATGATGTAGTTGTTTTATAAAAAAAAAACAGTTATCTCATGTTTGGAAAAATTCAATTTAAAAAGTTCATTAGTTAGAGTTTTGCGATAGTACATTCTGATTTATACAATCCACTTATTTCAAATACATGTATTTTCAAAGCACATTCATTCTAACTATCAATCAGTATATTATAGATAACCCTTTATTTGCTTCTAGTTTCCATGATGTTCAAAATTGTACATGAACACATTACACTACTTTTACCATTAGTAACTAGCTAGTAAGAAACCTACAAATCCAATGTTTGCTTATTCTATTTTCACCCAATTAGACTTTCTCTTCTTTCATTTGGGCGATTTCTTCGTGGCAATTTACAGCATTCAATGGAGGCAGAAATCAGGAGATTAAAGCTTGAACTTCAGCAAACTCTCGATGCTTACCATTCCATTTGCAAAGATGCCGCCACAACCAATCGAATGGTACATGTACTTCACCTGCTGATTAAAATTTTCGATGATTCACTTTTAAGTTTTAGTCAATTTATCTCGGGTATGCAAGGGAACTACATACAAGTTAATCTTGTGCTCGAGTGGTCGAGGATATAATATTTTCTCAACATGAATCGGATTTCCTTTGGATCTCGCTATATTAACACTTGCACGAAACCACGATTACGTGAAGGACTTGTGTGCAAATTTTAAATTTGTGGACTGACCATTTTTGTTTATGGGAGTGTGTAAAAGAATAAAGATCGCATAAAATCTATTTCTTGTTTTTCTATCTCTGGAGTTATTAGGATGAATTTTGGTAGGGATTATGAGTCATTTCACATATTATCTTTCATCTTCATATTGTTTGCCAGACCACGAAACCACAAAATTTCAATTCTCATGACTACGACCCTAAGGATGATTCCAACATGTCCTTGGACCTCGACATCTCGACACCGGAAATCGAAGTACATAGGAACAGGGCCGCGAGAATAACGCAGCTGCTGTCGGAAATGGAAACGCAGAAGAAGCAAAATGCAGAAATGAGAGCCAATTACAAGCAGGCTCTGAGAGAGAGGAACCACAACTCCAGATCAATGGAGTCGCTCGCATATTACGGCAATAACCCGAATTCCAACATTCAGTTCAGAAAGTACAACATTCAAGATATAGAGATGTCGACGAACCATTTTGCCCCAGCGAAAAAAATCGGCGAAGGTGGATATGGACCTGTTTATAAAGGCATTATCGATGAAATTCCCGTCGCGATCAAGGTTGTCAGACCGGACTTGTCGCAGGGACAGAAACAGTTCCAAAAAGAGGTAAGTATATACTCTTTTGTTTCAACATCTTAATTAATAGCACCAAACGAGGGGTTAAAACTATTATCTCCATTCTCTCTCTCCCAACAGGTCGAGGTATTGAGTACAGTGAGACACCCACACATGGTAAATCTCCTAGGCGCGTGCCCTCAATACGGGTGTCTGGTCTATGAGTACATGGACAATGGGAGCTTAGAAGATCGACTCTTCAGAAAAGACAATACCCCAACGATCCCTTGGCCCACGAGGTTCAAGATCGCCTCTGAGATCGCCACAGGCCTGCTCTTCCTCCACGAGCACAAGCCCGAGCCCATCGTCCACCGCGACCTCAAGCCCGCAAACATCCTTCTCGACTCCAACTATGTGAGCAAGATAGGGGACGTGGGCCTTGCGAGGCTGGTCCCGGGGGCCGCACCGAACAGTAATGTGACGCGTTACCATGTGACTGCAGCTGCGGGGACGTTCTGTTACATTGACCCGGAGTACCAACAAACGGGGTTGTTGTCCGTGAAATCGGACTTGTTCTCACTTGGTGTGGTTCTGTTGCAGCTCATCACTGGGAGGGCTCCGATGGGGTTGTCGTACCATGTCGAGGAAGCCGTCGAGAACGGGAGGTTCTTGACAGTGCTCGACCCCACGGTTCTGGATTGGCCCGTGGAGGAGGCTATGTCGCTCGCCAAGCTGGCATTGCAGTGTTGTGAGCTGAGGAAGAAGGATAGGCCTAGCCTTGGGAATGTCGTGCTACCGGAGTTGATCCGGTTGAGAGATTTTGCTGCGGGGAGGAGCCTGGGGTTCGACTAACATATGAATTGTGGAAATTTTTGAAACATTTGGAGAATCTTGAAAAATGTCTTTGTGGTGAAACTTTGAAACATTTGGAATACCATTTCCATTATTATTTTGGAAATTATTCATGAAACGTACTTCAATTTTAAGTCCGCAATGTAAGCAAGAGGTGAAAACATGCAAGGGAAAGTGAAGAATTATTGTAAGTTTTGAGAAAAAAATTGTGGAAAGCTTGGAGGTGAAAGGGTATGGGGGATAGAGAAGAAGAGGTGGGGGAAAGAATTATGTATCACTTAGATTGTGAAGTTTTTTCCAGTCTCATTTTTTTTAGATTCCAATTCATTTTTTAATTTTATGTCAATCTTCAATTGGTGCGGTAAATATTAAAGAACGTCCTTAAACTTGAAAAATAGTCATAGATCCTTAATTATGACAAAATATCAAATCTCATTTCCGATCCAATTTTCTACCAAAAAAGGTAAAATTTAACCTCATAGATGAGTTGAGGTGGTAATAAAATTGATCGATATATCAAGATTTCGGTATCATCATGATGTACATTGTCAATGGTAAGAATTTCGGGTTTTAAAAAAATAATAATGTAAACAACAATAATATATTGCTTATTTAAAATGAATATTCAAGTGACAAATCGTGAAAAAGGTGTAAGATTACTAAATTAGGGACTTTTTGTGAAAATTACATATTGTCACCCTACTTTTTTTATATTTGAAAACTATTTAGCTATGATTTTGTTATTCGGAATTTCGGATCCTAAAATTGAAAACTAAAGAAGAGAGAGAGGACGTGGGAGTTGGGAATCCTCAAAGCATAGAAGAATCGGCAGAAGTCCCTAATTGAAATCGAAAGCCCAATTTGCTCCTCCACTCATAATAAAGTTTCCGACTTTTCGTTTTTCGCTCTCTCCATCGCCGCCACCGCCATCATCTCGCCGAAACCCTAATTTCTCTGCCTCTCCGTCTCTGCGGCGGAACCCACCGCAATGTCTTTCTCCCACTCCGACCACAGCCACGATCCCGACCGCCGATCTCAGCAACAACAACCGCAGCCCCGTCTCTACAACCCGTACCAGGACCTCAACACCCCGATCAAAACCCTCTACAACCTCCCCACCTCGCCGGAGTTCCTCTTCGCCGAGGAATCCGTCAAGCAGCGCCGCTCCTGGGGCGAGAATCTCACCTTCTACACCGGCACCGCCTACCTGGGCGCCTCCGTCGGAGGCGGTGCCGCGGGGCTCTACTCCGCGGTCAAGGAGTTCGAGCCCAACGACACGCTCAAGCTCAAGGTGAATCGCGTCCTCAACAGCTCCGGCCACTCGGGCCGAGTCTGGGGAAACCGGATCGGGATCGTTGGGTTGATCTACGCGATGGCGGAGAGTGGGATTGTTGCAGCTACCGATCGGGATGATGTTTGGACCAGCGTTGCGGCCGGGCTTGGGACTGGCGCTGTTTGCAGGGCGGCTAGAGGGGTGAGGTCTGCGGCTGTCGCCGGTGCTTTGGGAGGTCTGGCTGCCGGAGCGGTGGTGGCTGGGAAGCAGGTCATGAAGAGGTATGCCATGATTTGATTGGAACAGGGGAGAAAGAGGAGAAAGGTTGGAGCTTTGAGGTTAGGGCGTGAGTTGTTTTTAGTCTTCTCCTTTAGCCTTTTTGTTGTTTGGTAATAAGCATATAATATGATGTGTTCTGCTCCAGTTTTGATCTTGATAATAGAAATTTGATGGAAGGGAAATTAGTAAAGAAGATGAAGAGGCAAGGGGTGACTGAATCAATGGAAAGAATTGTTAGTTGGAAAGTTTGGAGAAAAATTTAATGTTATCTTGGCATGGAAGAATCATGCTGTGATGAACAACAAAAATTTGAGGAAATGTATAATGCTGGTGTTCTCACTTCTCTGGTGATGTAATTTGCCGACCTTGTTTGAATTTATGGAATAACATTCTGCTGCTGCTGCTGCTTTGGTATAAAGTTACAGATTTTATAGTGCATGTGCTTGTGTGTGCGTTCTCCTTGAAGTGAATTGATCTCGATAAGTTTACTTGTTAATCCGAAGCTACATGCCTAGATCATTTGGCGAATGTCATGACAGTAGAATTGAATTTGGCTGCATCCATCACATGCATATGCATTAGCTGCAAGCAATCCTTAATCCCTCACCTCTCAGTTGTGTCGAGTTGTTCTAAATGTTACTTTCTTGATGTTTTGTGCACCTCGATTGTTAGGAGCACTGTTTGTACATTATCCAACTAGGCAATCTGCTCTGCTTCGTACAGTGTTAAGATGAAATCTCTATGCTGAGTGTCTGAAGGCGCGCATGGTTTGTACGGAACTAGAGTGGGTTTGAACGTTTGCAGGATCTGGGTTCAACAATGAGAACCCGATTGTGCTGGTTGTGTTGAGTGCGTCGGTGGCTCCTTGCTTGTTACAGAATGGCCCAAGCTTAATGATTGTGCTGGTTTAACTCCTGTCATTAAGCTTTCAACTCGTATTTGCAGCTATCGCTTCTAATTGTTCGAGAATCTAAATCCAGTGGGATTAGACTTGGAGTTGGTCTTTACATCATCCAGATAGTGGCGTCCCCTCTAACCTGAGGCAAGCAAAGCTGCAGTGATTGCTGGCAACACAACCACTATAGGATGGGATGATTTATGAGCAAATTAGAAATGAAAGTAAACAAGAACTTTGAATGTCACTACAAGAAACAATCAACTTGGTAGGTTTAAAAACTGGCACCTGCAGAAGCATTGAACTGGGCTATTAGTTATTATCGTCTGACCTCTGCTGGTGTCAAAAAGTAAAGAGTACCTTGTGAGTTTACAATGCCTTGAAAAGCCCCCATTTATTGAACTCAACAAACGGTTTCTTTCTGCTCTCCTAAAGGAAATGCTAACTATATCAAATATGCCTTTGCTCGTACGAATTCAATGAATACCATAACAAAAACCGAAACTGAAACTGAGTTAAGCTGGACCACTTGGTTCAAATTTTTACAGCAACATCGACTCCGGATTCTCAATGTAACTCTTGAATGCCTTGAGCCATTCTGCACCGATGGCGCCTGAAACAGATTCAGCAGTGTCAGTGCTATTATGTTGATTTCGAATATATAGACAATTAGAAAAACAGATCTTTGATGATAATGCATACCATCAATAACCCGATGGTCACAGCTTAGTGTCACTGCCATGAACGATGCAAACGAGTAGGCATCGGGGCCAGAGCCGGGCACTACCCTCTTCTCAGCTGTTGAAGGTGTAAATACATTATCACCAGCAGAGAACCAACAATTTTTTCTTGATGTGGAAGTAAAGGATTTATCTTACCTGAACCAACAGCTAGAATTCCTGCCTGTGGAGGATTCACAATGGCACAGAATTGCTTGACGCCAAAAGGCCCACCCAAATTAGATACAGTAAATGTTCCTCCCTGCCACATTGATGAACACCGACATGATTGTAAGAAAAGCTTTTTCTACAGAAGGAAGCCCAAGGAGGAAAGAACAAGAGAAATACTGATCAACACCTCGTAATCTTCTGGCTTCAAGCTGTTGTCCCGGGCTTTTTGGGCCAAGTTTTTGACTTCTTCGCCTATTGCTGACAAACCTTTCTTGTCTGCATCCTGGAATATTTTACAAGGATGATTTGTGTTGAGAACTAATCTAACAGTAAGAATGGAATGGAACTTGGCATACACCAATAAACTAGGATCATCATTCTTACCCTAATAACTGGAACGTATAGTCCGTTATCTGTTTGCACAGCTACGTTGATATTTACATTCTTATACCTGTACGAACAGAAAAGGAAAGAGACGAGACATGATTTGCCATACTAATCGGAACAATTGTCTGGATTTTTGACCCAGCTTATATTGCAGTCTATGGAGTATATACTCACTGGCGGATATAGTTATCATTCCATGAACTATTGCATTGTGGAACTTTCTTAAGGGCCAAAGCCACAGCCTGTGATAACAATGCAGATAAGAAGGGAATAGATTAAAGCTGAGATAGTTGTACCACAAGGAAGATAAGCATTAGCGAATTGCGTCGTAGTGATATTTTGAGCAAGGAGATCTACAAACATAAATATTTCCTATATGTTTGACAAGAAAGGCAATGTACCTTGATGACAAGATCATTTACAGATATCCGCTTCCCACCCGTGGCCTCTTGCAACGAATTGAGTTGGCTGCGCAGTCTGTATCAGGAAGATTACAGTTTAGATTGTAGAGCAATGGAATGGACCATAAGTAAAATACAAGGTAACATAAATGAGTTAAACCCACTCACTCCATAAGTTTATCAACATGTGTGTCAACGGTTAAGTAATAGTGAGGAACAGTTTGCTTCGACAGTAATAAGCGTGCAGCAGTGACCTGTCACATGATACAAGCAACTATCATGATTTTGTCACAAAAATTATGCTTAAAGATCTATTGTATCGTTGACGTTCCTAAGAAATAAAGCAAAAATTAACCATTTGCAGAATCCTCAGGCCCAAAATAATTATTTCATGAACACGATTTTGTCACAAAAAGTACAATTCTTGCGAGTTCAGTTTCAATAGAGATGGCTACTAAGATTACCTTTCTAATTTGAGTATGGGGGATGTCAACATAATCCAAAGCAGCATCTGCCACACCGGCCTTGGTCTTTGGTGTTGCCGCAGAAACTTCCTTGCCACTTGAAGCTATATAATTAAGAGAAATTCTTTAGTATGTTAACCTAAATCAATAAATCGAGTATGGCCAATCAAAAGCAACAATGGAAAGCCAATTCATTATCAGGGCATGGCACATATGTCAAACAGATGTGGAAAGAACAATGTGTAGTATTCTAATCGTACCCAAGTAATCTTCAATATCAGCCTTCACAATTCTTCCATCAGGACCTGTTCCTTTGATTTCTGATAGAGATACCTATAATTTATGAAAAAAAGAAAGAATGAAAAGAGTGGCCACAATTAAGCAGGACAGGTAGCTACACCTAGGGAGAGAATGTCACAAAGTGCTTCAAGTCACTAACTTTGCGTTCTTCAGCCAATTTCTTTGCCAGAGGGCTAGCAAAAATGCGATCTTCAGAAGATGCTGGAGTGCGCTTGGGGGTCTTTGGTGCTGGAGAACGATCTGGTTCCTCAACAGCTTCTTTTGCTGGTGGAGGAGGAGGAGCGGAGGATGATGGCTCTTTAGGTGGTGCAGCATCCGCTCCTGAAGCTGAAGGGCTGTAATCCTTAAACTTTCCAATGTCTTCCTCGTCCTCAACAGTAATTGCTATGATCTACACAAGATATCAAGCAGTTAACAGAACAAATGATTAAAGTAGAATATCTGAATCTCACTTCTTCATAACGAGATAGATGGCAGGAATAGCGTGGTATACCTCACCAACTTTAATTTCTTTGGCTCCATCTCCCTTTACAATCTTTGCAAGATAACCCTCTTCCATGCATTCCATTTCAACAGTTGCTTTATCCTTCAGAAGTTAACAGAGAGATAAGAGCACATTTACACTCCACATGGGCAATGCACATAAATCCAGAAACGGAATGGCAACGATCGAACAAGGAAACATACAGTTTCCACTTCACAGAGCACTTCACCTGGCGAGATTTTTTCGCCCTCTTTCTTTAGCCATCTTGCTATGTTCCCCTGTAGAACAGAGAAAATGGAACAGCTATTAGACGAGAAGAACATACAATGGTAGTAAGCTGCAGGAAGGCACATGCCTCTGTCATTGTTGGTGAGAGAGACGGCATTCCAATCTCCTGATGTGGAGGTAGAGCTGCAACATCATTGCATGGTGCATCAGTTAGAAATAGACTTCCATATTTAGTACTTAATTAATGATGGCAGAAAGCAAGATGATGGTAGGACAGTGAACCTGAATCAGTTGAAAAGGCTCTCCTGGAGTGTACTTGTGAGCTAGCCAAGGAAAAGAATAGAGTTAATATTGTATATGATTAAAAAAATAAATATTGACTCTCAGAGTGCGAATGTAAGAGCCATACCAAGAAAATGGCGCAAGCATCGGACTTCCTGATCTCATGGTCATGGTTGAAACGTTTCTCTTGAAAATACCCAAGGATGACACCTAACCAACCAGAATGACCACGTAAATACTTCCCAACTAAGTACAATTCCAATGGGCATAAGGAACTGAAAGTTCGAAAGAGGTGGAGCAAAAATGCACGAGAATAAAACCAAACAGAGAACTTACGGGGCCATTGGCAGTACAAGAGAAACTCGCTTCCTCTGCAGTCACATATACTTGATTGCGAGCCTTCAAAATATCTGCAGACAACCGATTTGTCATGTAAAGATAGAAGCAACATGAGCAGATTATATCCCCAATTTAAAGTCCACCAAACCGAAACACGAAGTAATGAATGCAAGAAACAAGTAAACCATGCCCTCCTGCTCTCTTAATACCAACTAGTACAGCTTCTATAAGAAATTGATCATCGATGCACAGCACAAAGCAAGACTAGTCCACAAACAAATGCCGCCAAAGTTCACAAATACCTTCTCTTTTACCAAGAGCCTCATTCGAGAACCAACGAACCAAGCTTCCATGTCTGTATCGCAATATGCTGGGAACATCTCTCAGCTGTGAAAAAGAAATCCCCAGAAATCAGATTCCAAAACAGGATGCCAGTAAGCCATTTGAAGCAGAGAGATACTATTAATCTCCCAATCGCAAAGCTAGAAAACCAGCTGGCCTGACAGTTCATTGACCACAATTACGACAGACGGACAGGAAACTCCCCTAAAAAACAGGCAATGAAAGATAGATTGCTGATGACCCATTGATTCAATAAGCTCCCACGAAGAGATCGAAACCGAGCGAATGGTCAATGAAGGAAGATATTGAATTGCTAGTGAGAAAAGCATAGCTCGCATGCACATCAATTGTTCGTTTCAATGAGTCAAAGCTGAATGTGGGGGGGGGGGGGGGGGGGGGGGGGAGGGAATAACAGAAGCGTGGTGATTCGGAAGCTAACCTTCTTCGAGTGATTCATTACGCGAGATGCATACGCCATGGCTCGTTGCTTCGATCAAAGGTCGGAACTTTCGTGTTCTTAGACAAAAGGGCAGCAAAAAAGAAAAGAGAAAAGAAAGATGAGCGAAACCAAGGGGATTTGGGAAAGAAAAGGGATGTTTGGTCGACGAGAAAATTTCCCCTAAGAGCACACCAATTGGGAAAATTAACAATATTCTCTTTGTGGCACGAACACGACTCTCACTTGTCTTTTCTTCTTTCTATTTTGCAGTACTGTGTCTTCGTACTATTATTTTCTTTGATTAACAATTTTGCATGATTGTTAATAGTTATTATTATTTGATATTTAATTACTCAGATTCGAAGATGGAGCTTTTCAGCGACCCAAAAGGCCAAAACACTCTCGATTAAAAGATTTGATAACGACACTCTTCATACTCGTCAAACCTCCAAAATCTGATGAATTTTATGAGGTTGTTTGGAAGTGTTTTCCCGGCGAGAAAAATAAAGGAAAGAGAATTGGATTTTGCACATTTGACTTCCGCACAAACGATCAAACAACACAGTTCACACCTCTTCGAACAAAGTTCGAAAAAGGGTGTTCAATGTTTTGATGAACCACGAGGCAAATCTATATTAAATTAGCCCTACTCCTATGGAGGTTCAGTGAGAGCTCCAAAAACTACGACTATGGCTAAAATCTGCAGAGGAAAAGATAAAAAAGATAAAACTTGACAAGTGGTGCCGAGTTGTGATTTTTGCGAACCCTTTCTCTGTCATCTTCACCTCCTATTTATAGCCACCAAAAGTAACTGCCCCAAGAAACTGCTCTGCTGACGGGAGTGACGGTTACCCATTCAACTGCTATGACGGTTACCCTGATGTTGGATGTGAGATCCTCTTCAGCCTTGACTTCCTCCTCTTGAGACCTCAACCTCTGCTCTTGGCATCTCCTTCGTAGTTTTGCTTATCCATAGAGTAAAAATGGCTAAGGCATAAAGAAATACCACTTACCACATATGGGTGGGTATTTGAATAACATGAGTTAAAAATGGCAAAATGTACTTTACCATTAGTAGAGTAAAGAGACCACCTACTCACATGACCCCCTTGCCTTGGCCAAACCATGGGGGTGTACATTGGTGACCCCCTCACCATACCATTGGGCATCCTCCAAGGGGGTCATATGGATCACCCCACCACTATATCATCCTCATGGGAGCTGGCGTTGGTGACCCCTCACCCCCTGATCATACCATGTGGTGCTACGTTGGTGGTCCCCATACCACCTCATGGGGCTGCTCCTTCCGCTCTCATCATCTTCCATGTCATGGGGATGGCGGTATGATGTCCACCCCCTTGTCACGTCCTGGGGGTGGTATGATGGCGGCCACCCCCTCTGTTACCTCCTGGGGGTGGCTACCACTCCTTGCCTTAGCCAAATTCGGCCATCACCCCCTCACCATGTCATGGGGATGGCGGTATGATGTCCACCCCCCTTGCCTTAGCCAAATTCGGCCATCACCCCCCCTCACCATGTCATGTCCACCCCACTTGCCACGCCTTGGGGGTGGTATGGTGGTGGCCACCCCCCTGCGTGTCATGGGGGTGACTCCCATACTTAGCCAAATTTGGAGATGCATGGCGCGCGTGGTGGCATGGAGTAATGGGCCCAAAAACCCAATCCTCATGGCCTGATGTGGTACAAGGTTAATTTTTTGGTGTAAACAGGAAGTTATCATTATTAAACAAATATAGTGATTTACACAATGTATTGATTAATTTGATGTATTATAAAAATATAGGTTTGGTATGTATAATTGTGTTTTTAAGGTTTGAAAATAATTAACACTTTATAATAGAGTTAATCGCATGGCTGGTCACTGAGATTATAAAAAACGTTCAAGTTTGGTCACTCGAAATATTTAAATCCATTGGTGGTACTTCAGTTTACTGAAACCGTTCACGTTTGGTTACTCTCCGTCCAACTCCGTTAACTTTGGTTGATGTGGCAGTCAACTCTCAAAGTTGACTGTTAACTTAGTGATGTGGCAATTAAGAAATAATAAATAAAATAAAATTTAATCTATTTTAATGTCCAACTCATGTTTACTATAAAACAAATAGATAAAATAAAAATTTATTATAATTATCAAATTAAAAGGGGCGCTTCCTCCTCCTCGGAGCTTTCAAGCCAGCCCATGCAGTGGCGCCAGATCCTCCTTTCACGTAACCAAGCCAACTCCAATTCCGCATCTCTAGCTAGCTCCACGACGAGAAGATCGTCACGAGGCTCATCAGAAATGCCTCTGAGGCAATCGTCACGAAGCCCGCACCCACTAAGAACATCATCCACCTCTTACCCCGGGGGCGCCACCACCGACCGAAGCCCGAAGGTCTCCGGCCACCGTCGCTCCCCTCGTGGTGGGCCACATTCAGATTCACCATTGCAGTAGAGGAAGCTCGGCACGCGAATTGCCGATCTCGAGTCACAACTAGGCCAAGCTCAGCAAGAGCTCAAGAGTCTGAAAGAGCAACTGGCCTCTGCGGAAGCTGCCAAGAATGAAGCCCAGAAGGAGCTCGGGAACAAGTCCAGTAAGAAATCAACCCGGCCCAATCCACAACCAGAGGAGATAGCAGGAGGAGAAGAAGAAGAAGCAATTCCGCCGCTGGCAGCGGTCGATAACGACCGGGAGGAAATTGACGTGTTTGAAGTTCTGCGGTGGAAATTAAGGGCGACACACCAAATCCTACCTCCCTTGGAGAAGACATTGCTATGAAGAAGCACGAAGAGGAGATGAACGAGCTTAGAGCGAAGCTGGAGGAGAGAGAGAAGGAGCTATTGGAATCGAATCAGGAGAAGGAAGAGCTGAGAAAGCAGTTTGATGAAGCGGCTTCTAGGATTGAATGTTAGTGTTGTGGTATATGATCCACGATTGAACCTCTTCCAACAACTCGAGTTATTGGGATCAACTGGTTCTTGACATGGTATTAGAGCCTTTTGTGACCGAAAGGTCTTGTGATTAAGATGTTTGGTGACCTGTGGAAAGGAAGACACATAAGTGAATGTGAGTCCCGATTTCTATGTAATATAATGATGATAACACGTTTGAAAGTTCATGTAGAAGAATGGTGTTTTTGTTAAATGGCTGCTCGGCATGCAAGTTAATGTTTGTTGATGGAGAAGAACATTTGATGATGAATAATAATTATAATAATTTGTTCTTTTATTAATTTATTTTATCGTAAAAATGAGTTGGACATTAAAATATTAAATTTTATTTTATTTATTATTTCTTAATTGCCACGTCACTAAGCTAACGGTCAACTTTGAGAGCTGACTGCCACATCAACCAAAGTTAACGGAGTTGGACGGAGAGTGACCAAATATAAACGGTTTCAGTAAACTGAAGTACCACCAATGGATTTAAATATTTCGAGTGACCAAACTTGAACGTTTTTTATAATCTCAATGACCAACCATGCGATTAACCCCTTTATAATATGTCAAACAATCTGAACTCAAATATCTCAACAATTTCAACTAGAACTTGAGATACATTAATCACTTATATTGAGTGATATTTTATATCACATCACGAAAACAATTCATATTGAAACCACAATAACAATAAAAATGTACTAAATGAGACCATGTATTATCAATCTTTACCATGGTCATGTTGGTAATGTTTATACCCTGATGGTATGAAAATGTACCATGGTGATATAAATATATATATCATAGTATAGAAATTAGAATGCTTGCATACATCATAGTAAGAATATACTAACAATCATTTACCACATTTCACCACCGTCTATCACTAGTTACCATCATATACCAAGGTGGTATATTTGGTCCTGAAATTCACCTCCCCTCCATAAATTTGGATATCACGATGAACATGTTCCTCAAGTGCAAAAATTTCAAAATTTGAGTAGAAACGAAGATGTTGAAGAGTGATGTCAATTGATGGTAACGAGTGGTAAAAAAATTCAATGGATCGTGTGGATGTGGTACTTGGGTGTTGTACTTGAGACCAAACATCACATGTTTTGGTATTTGGACCCAAATAACACGTTTAGCTAGAAAAAAGGTAAAAGTATTTGGTATGTGTTATTCTACAAATACCCCAAACGGTTATTTGACAAATATTATGGGAAGACTGGTATTCTTCAAAAGAAGGAGGAGGTTTGGGTCTCCATAAACCTCGTGAACAAAACTTAGTCTTCCTTTTTAAAGGTTATACGACTATTCATCAAGAAACAAGTTGAACTATGAGTTCAAGTTTTGTAGAAAAAAAAATTCAACATTATGCAGAGAATGGTTGAAGCAAAATCCACGACACAAGTTACGACACTCTGGAGAGGCATCTGGAAGGCGTGGTGATATTTTTCTTGATCACACCCTCGAAGATGGGTCTCCGATTGACCTATCCTAATTAGCCAGTGAGTGGGAATATTCCATTGTTGCATAATTACCTGCAACCCAACAGAGGCGGACTTAGAAGAAGAGACTACAGTTTGGGTTCCTGAACGAGATGACAAGTTTTTGTGTCAAATATGCCTATATGATTGTTGTTGACTCGTAGCAAGGCAAACAAAGGTACAATTGGAAGAAACTCTGGCAATGGTGGAGGCCTACTCATGTCAACCACTTCTTGTGGCTGGTGACAAATGAGCGCCTCTTAGGGGTGGCAGTTCTGTTATCGGTTATCGATTAACCGACCGGTTAAATCAATAACCGATCAGTTATCCACTAACCGGTAATTGAAGTAACCAAACTTCGGTCGGTTATTGGAGGTTGGACGAAATGGTTTTTGATCTTAAAAGTGGTTCGGTTAACCGATAACCGAGATAACCAAGAAACCGAAACCTATTTCGGGCAGTTTTTGATAGGGGGAGTGGTTATTTCGGTTAATCGATAACCGACTGATCGGTTATCGAGTATAATCGAAATAACCAAACTGTCACCCCTAGCGCCTCCTCACCAATAACGAAGGAATCGACATCACTTGGTAATCCCCCATGTGCACC